TTGGAAGCTTATCTCCTTTCTTGCGAGTCGTATAGAAAACATCAAGTAAATTTGGATCATTACCCTCACTCGCACCCTTCCATAACACATTAATATCATTATATACTTTTCTATTCACTATAAAATTTTATAAAAGATAAAACATGAACCACAACTTAACTTTCATACCAAATCATCCCAAATGACTTGGCTAAAAGGCTTGCTCCCTGTTCGATGCATTCGATCATTAGAGTAAGAACCTCTATTAGCAGAGTTTCTTAAACTTTTTTCCTGCAAAAAAAAGTATTATAACATATCTACACACATTAAAGTAAAGATTGCTCAAACTATTAAAGTTTACCTTAAACTGGTCATTAGAAAAGATCTCTCTTATAAGCCACCTCCATTCATCCTTTTCAAGTCCTTCAGGTGGATCATGATAGTATGCAGCTTTTAAGGTTATGTTCTTTTTTAGTTACATTATACCTTAACAAGTCTGCTCTCCAATTTTTCCACAAGTCTTTCATATGCAGAAGAGTATGCTCTTTGTAAAGTTCTATATTCTCATTATTGAAGACATCCTGAAAATTTGAAAAGTTGTTCAAAAGTAATGCTAAGAGACAGTGAATAAATGACTAAGTTTTTTACACAAACTATATGTAATTGCCGTCACTGCACTCTCATATGGTCTTTTTCTGTTTCTCTAATGTCACTCCATTTGTGCACTTTCACTGGGCAAATATTTGTATCTCGTACTATAATCCCCAAATGTCTTGACCATACTTCGTGATTCTTTCCAACAGCTCTATTGTTATAGAAAGTTACTTCAAGTTTCTCACCGGGTTTTAGCCTTGTTATTTCCTTACACTTGTTTCTTCCCCTCTGTATTTCAGTCATTGATTTCTTCTTGGCATTACACAAGAGTCAACACCTTCAACCAAAACAAAGTATTATTCAAAGTGTTCAATAATGAAAAGAATAAAAATTGTAGTATATCAATGATGAAATAAAAAATGATTACCATTTAGATTTTGAACGACTATCCGATCTTCTTCCGATTCAGTGTCACTTATGCCATCAAGATCGCTACCCCCTGCATGTTATTGGTATATAGGAGCCCCCACCTTCACCGTATAGAAATAGTAGCATGTGACATTCTTAGAAAATCAAACTCAGGTCTCCCAGTAACATAATAGAAAGAACATATATTAACAATCATTTAATGAAGTAAAGATATTCCTAGTAACAAATACAACCGAACATCTAATCACACTGCCTCTATGTAACTCTTATGTAAAGGCTCAGATTCTGTGTTTTTCAGCAGGCAATGTGAAAAGTCCAAGCCGCCATGGCTGCAATAACCGGGTCGTTCCGGATTGCCCTACCAAGATACAAATTAAGTTGTCTGAATACACCGATATAAGTAGTCTAGAATCATCACAACCACTTCATACACAAGAGGGATTGGATTACATATATTGTTGAAAAGTAGCAAGAGGCCAAGTACCCTATCAGACACCCAAAACTTGCCTAACTAATAAATTAACTATCCAACTTCACCGCATTGAACTAGTAGCATGTGGCACTGTCACAAAATCAAATTCAGATCTCCCAAGAACATAATAGAAAACACATACATTAACAAGCGTATTTCTCTTTTTGAAAAGCTGCTGCATAAATTAAGGGTTTGTTTGCAAACACTACTCCCAAGTGCTTTTAACTTTTTTAAGTGATTTGGGAAAAAGTGATTAATAGTAAAAGTTGGTAGTGTTTGAGAAAAAAATGCTTTTGAAAAGTAAAAGTTGGTAGTGTTTGATAAAATAAGTGCTTTTTGTATAATAGAAAAATTAAAAAGTAGATTATAGCTTTTAACTTTTACTTGTTAATTCAAGTAGAAGTTGTTACTTGAAAACACTCTTTAGTTTTATAAGCGAAAAGATGAGAAGTGCTTTTTTTCAGTGTTTGCAAACAAAGCCTAAGTAGGGGCGTTTCTAGCAACATATAATGGTGAATATCATAACACCAACTATTTTATCCATTAAAAAAGCTCAAACATAAATCAAGATATATAATATATGTTCTCCAAATGCACCAATATCTGTAGTCTAGAATCATCATAGCCTTTTCATACACAAGAGGGTTGTTAGTTACATATATTATTGAAAAGTAGCAGAGGGAGGCCAAGTACTCTATCACAAACCCAAAACTTGCCTAACTAATTAATGAACTATCCAACTTCAACGCATTGAACTAGTAGCATGTGACACTCTTAGAAGATTAAATTCAGATCTCTCAAGAACTAATAGAAAACAGATATTAACAAGCACATTTCCCTTTTCGAAAAGTTACTGTATAAATTAAGTAGGGAGATATATGAACAACACATGGATCCAATTTTACCATTTGAATTTTGTAGATTTGTCCGGTCTCCATCCATTACAGTGGTTCTAACGTCAGAAGCAACTTTTCTTCCACATACTTTCATACTGAACTTTATTTTTAGTAGTACAATTGTCGCCGCCTTAAACCAAGACGAACATGAAGCATTCAATATAGAGGAAAAAGGAAACAAGAACAATCATTATTACATGTTAAACCATTACCATTTGAATATTGTAATAATGTTAGATCTAGCTCCAATTCACTAACATCGTCAAACATATTTGTTCCTCTCATTCTTTCCATCAGAGTATTCTTCGTAGAAGTAAAAGAGTCACCCCTTTCAACAATGACAAATTTTGGTTTAAACATGAATAGGACGTTACAGGGCAAGTTTAATTTTCAAAAGAGGGTTGCATCAAGTTGAAACACCAAGCATCCTATCAGAAACCCATAACTTGCATAACCAATGAGCTATCAAACATTGTAAAAAGTGCCAAACGCTTACAATTTGGGTTTTCTGGAACTTCAGAATTTGGCTCAAATTCGTTGTACAAAACATCATCCAGAATGCTAGCTTCTTCTTCTATTTTTTTCAACCCCAAAATCCTTCTTTAAACTCGATCTGATATCCAATGAGTGAGCGTATTTGTATTTCACGGAGCTTGCAAGAGTGAAAATAAATGTATTCTTTAGCAAGAGTGAGAATATTGAAAAGTAAATGTGTAAACATAATTAGAGGGGAGACAAAAAAGGGGAAAGGGGTAATTTGAGTTTGCACCCCATATTATTGTCCAAATTGGACTTTGCACCCCAACCCCAAATGAAAAGACAAAAATGTTCCTCCATTAACAATTATATTGGCCGTCAACAATAAAATGCGGTGCAAACTCAAATTATCACATACATTTGTGTACCAAGATATAGTAAAAAGGTTTTAGAATTATATTGGGCCTCTTTAAAACATCAATGTGGTGTCTTTTGTTAAATTTTGAAATTTGAAATGCGACCACATCAAAATTATTTAAAAAATTTGTTATTAGCCATGGGACACTTATTCATATTGGTTTCAAAGTTTGCATGTTACTTTGATCTTAAAATAGTTAATCAAAGTAAAGGTAGGAAATCTTGAATAGAGACCACCAATATGCATGGTGTACAAAAACGTTTTTTGTAATATGTAGTTTTGATTAAATTTTTCAAATTTTGACACTCACTGGGTCATTCTTTTGTCACAATCTTAATCTGTTTTTGCCGCCAAAAAACTACATCTACTTCTTAACGTCAAGTTATTTAACAATTTAACATTGTCTTATGTTTGATAACAAAGAGAGTGTTTGAAACTAATTCTGCTTCTACTTCTTTTTTTAAAAGCACAAACAAAATCAATTTTTTTTTCATAAGCCGGTCTCACTCAGCTTTTAAAAACCGCACTTTCACCCAAACACTCCAATATATGCTTCTGTTCTTCGAAAGAGCAAAAGAAATTTTAAGAAGCACATCCAAATACCCCAAATACTCATATACACTTCTTAGTTTTTTGAAATAATCACACACCGCGTGCATCCACGGGTGCCATACTAGTTCATATGAACGCAAAGAGATCAATATGCTAGAGCGCCAAGTATGTGTGAAAGACAAATGTGTACAAAAGGTAATTACCACTATAGTGTATACGTCAAACATGATTGAAAAATGAAAATGCGGTGGAAAATTTAGAGCCCGTTTGGTAGCACGAAAATCGGGTGATTTGCTTGATTCTGCTGAAATTTATGAACTTCTGGCTTAAGTAGCTGCATCGGCTGATTCTGATGATTTAAGATAAAGTCATTTTTAAAATATATTTTATTAATTAATAAAATAAAGAAAAATTATATGTAAAAATAGCTAAAATGATCATCTACAGTAACTTCAAGCAATACAGACAGAAAAGTAACTCCAATCTTACATTTTCTGCTTATTACACAATCCAGCGCGCGAAAGCAAAAGTCACATGTTTGGTGAAAAAGTTGGCTAATAAGCCTGATAAGCCGAAAAATAGTGTTGTCAAACGGTCTCTTAAAGCGACTCGGGTAATTACCGATATAGTGTCAGGGTCATAAAGCAAAGGGAAAATGGTCAAATAGGCCCTCGAACTTACATAAAAAGGTCAAATAAGCCCTTATATAGGAGGCTCTGTTCGGTCGTCGCCATTTGGGTCAGTTCCTGGTGGAATTTTTTGATGAAATTTTTTGAGCATCTTAATCATTTAGTCTAGTTTACTCATACAAAATTTAAGCTAACAATTCAATCGGAAATGCATTCAAATGAATTCTTGAAGATAACTGCGCTTTTAACTGTACAGTTATCTTCAAGAATTCATTTGAATGCCTTCCCGATTGAAATTTTAACTGAAATTTGGTATGAGTAAACTAGACTTAATGAATAAGATGCTAAAAAAATTTCATTAAAAAATTCTACCGAGAACCGTCCCAAATGGCGACGCCAGACAGAGCCTTCTATATAAAGATTTATTTGACCTTATGTAAGTTTATTTGACCTTACGTAAGTTCGAGTGCATATCTCACTTTTTTCCCTAAAGCAAATGCAACTAGTAAAAGTCCAAAAAATACCACGTTTAGAAAATCATATTTTGCCAAGTCTTTGGTAATAGGAATGGAATAAAAATGCGAAAAACAAATTGAAGATAAGCCCCGACAGTGTGCACTAATTCAATAACAGCCGCACACGACTGTTGCAGAAGTGTCCAATTCCGTCCATCTCCGCCCTCATCTGCCGCCATGGCCGCCTCCTCGATCTCTCTGACCACATTCTCCTCTCTCCCCGTACGCCACCGCTCAATCATCCGCCTCCGCCCGAACACCTCGTCCCTTTGTTTCCTCACCCCCAAATCCCCCGACGTCTCTGTTTTGATCCATGCAAACACCATCAAGCTCGCACCAACTACGGCCACCTCCTCCGACATCGACACTACGTTCTTCGACAGCTTCGAACCGGATCAAATATCCACCTTTGACCCTCCCCTCCCGCCAGAGGGATTTGTTCCGCCGCCCTATTTCGACGAAGGGCCGGTGGAATCGGAGGAAGACATTGCGCGGGGCTACGAGGAGCTATACGGACCAGGTTACAGTGGGGAGACATTACTGGGCAACGATTTGGACGAATTGGTCTCTAAGACGAAGAAGTCTGGGTTTAGGTCGGTTAGCAAGAGAGATAAGGTGAGAGATGGATTTGAGGAGAGAGTAGTGCAAGTCAGGCGGGTGACTAAGGTGGTTAAGGGCGGCAAACAGCTGCATTTCAGAGCGATCGTAGTGGTGGGTGACAAGAAGGGACGGGTGGGTGTGGGTATTGGGAAGGCGAAAGAAGTGGTTGGAGCTGTTCAGAAATCTGCTTTGGATGCTAGGAGGAATATCGTCACCGTGCCTCTGACTAAATATTTGACTTTCCCTCACAGGTAATGGTTCAGCTTGAATTGTTTTTCTCTTTTGCTATTTGTTTTTTTGTGTTCAAAGTGAATTTGGAGTTAGACATAATACTGAAGTGGTGACTTTTAGAGCGCGTTTGGTGGGAGTACTTCTGACTGAAAAGTTCAAACGAGATGAATTCGTTGTTGACACATTGTATGAAATGATTGAATAGGTTGATTGTGTTGAATTATCCAAATATGTATCTGGTTTTTTTTAATATGTTTAATGAAATAACATCTAATAGACTAGGCTACAAACATAGAAGTGTCTTATATCATCACTCCAGAATTACTTTTTAAATGTTCTAATCACACAAGTTCCCTTTTTGTTAGAAAATTTGGCTTCTAATTACGATAAGCTAAAACGGATTATAAAGCATGGCCTTGCTGTTTGATTTTCAACACGTTTTGTGTTTGAGGCATAGATGTCTATTGCCTCACATTCCTTTTACTGGTTTATGAATTCAGAAATTGAATGCTGTTGCATTTGTTGCTCAATGACCTCATAAGCCTCCTGTTGTTTGCCTCGTAATTCAAAATCACCCCCCTCTTTGTGCAGTTCTGCAATGGGTGTTGCCAATGATACATTACTTGCCACTTTGCTAGGCTATATCCTGGTGAATGAGGGTGATAGTATGATCGCTAAGAAGTTATTATAGTTAAAGTTAAAGTTAAGTTGAAGTTTAATTTTGGATGATCAAGTAGGCACGGGTCACCGCCTCGCTTCAAGAAAAGTTCAGGTGAATTTCAAATTTCTTTGAAAGTTTAAGTTTGTTTAACAAGCTTGGAGCATATCATGCTCCACCTTGAGGGGAGCGTTAAAGTGGTAATATATTTATTATAGTTTTAGTAGTATTGTAGTTTACTAATCCTATTAGGCTTCCTATTTTATCGTAATAGCCTCTATGTATCATTAAGTTGTAACTTCAAAAGTTCGAAGTCATACCAATAAAAGTAGTACCTCACAGTGTTTATTCTACAATGATTTTTGAAGTAGGCCTCAAAGTCTTTGCTTGCAGTGCATTAGATCTAGGCTATGTTTGCTATTGCTTTTGAAAAGCACTTCTCAGCTTTTTAATTAATAAACGCTAAAATTATTGTTTTCAAACACAAACTTCTACTTAATTCTAAGCACTTTTAGTCCATAGGTTGAAAGCAGCCACGTGCTTTTATCTGCTTCTAGGTTCTTTTGTAAATAAATACAACTTTGAGGAAAATTCTATTCCTATCTGTGCGGTGTATGTACGAACCGACTCTTCTGGATATCGATACATCAGTCATCCGACTTATCTAATAATAATTGTGTTTTACGTCGATCAACTGTTCCAGGCTTCAGTTCTTCACGTCTTTCTCCTTCAGTCTCTTAGACGAAGCAAATTCCAGTTGGGTAGCTGTCATTTCAAGTCCAAGATTAAAGTCCAATGGAGGAAGACATGAAAATAGAATTTACCTTTTCATTTCCCTGAGTTTTCGGCTTTGCTCTCTTCTACCCTTTCTTATAAAGTTCTTCTCAAGTAAAGAAATCGCATAAATGGTTTCAGATTGGACTCCTGCTGCTAACTCTCTTCCTCTCTCTTTTTTTTTTTTGCAAGAAGAAGACTTAATTATCATTAATCAAATCAACATCCAAAGATGAAACAATAAAAGGAGGAGAATAAAACCAAGATCGCGACTCAGACAAAGAACAAGCAGCTCTTGCCAGAGCATGGGCTGTCTTGTTCGCTAAACGCCTAATATGACTAAAAGAAATTGATTCTATTCACTCCCATTTTCTGCTCTCGGTCTGATGCAACGATAGCCAAGCTTTGTCAATAGGTACTCTGTAATATTTAATTTGTATAAGAGCACTTTTGTACTTTTATAAAATATTACATAAAATCACTTTTTTATCAAACACTCCAGCTTTTACTTTTATTATTAAAATCACTTCTATTTCCATACACTACCTACTTTTACTATATACCTTTTTCAATAATGTCTTACATATATTACTTTTGAGAAGCACAAGCAAACACAAACACTCCCTTAATATTATGTGATTATTTGAGATATAGGGAAGGAGAAGGGATTTTTCCTGTTTTAACCTATCCCGTGAATTTGGTTAATGGTTATCATCTACTACTACTGTCCCTAAAGAAAATGGGTTTGATTAAGGCGCACCTTTTAAATTTTGGTAAGGCACAACTATTGGAAATCAACCATTCTAGCTATGTTTTTATATTTATTTGTTGGTTCCACAAAGTTTAGCGGAACTTTTTTGAGACACTTATTTGACAAGGGGAAAAGTAGCTTTCTTGGGACAAAAATGAGCTCTCACATAGGACTTCTTTTTGGGACAGATGGAATAATACACAGTAACAATTGATTTTGGCAGATCTGAAGCAAAGTACGGCGCAGCAAAGGTCATGCTTCGACCAGCATCACCTGGAACAGGTGTGATTGCAGGTGGTGCCGTGAGGACCATCTTAGAAATGGCTGGGGTTGAGAACGCCTTGGGAAAACAGCTGGGGAGTAGCAACGCACTGAATAATGCAAGAGCGACCGTCGAAGCCGTGCTGAGGATGAGACAGTTCAGTGAGGTTGCACTCCAGCGCGGCATTCCCATGGAGGAACTGTGGAAGTGAAGATAATACATATACATATGTACTAGCCATCTTCATGGTTTCTATAGTTATCTATGGCCTTTGTTGGAACTCGAAAGCATTTTCTCAACAGGCATCATTGCCACTTTTTTTTGTTTCTCAATTCTCAACTAGTGTTAATTTTATTGATCAATATGTACATTTTCGTGGGTGAAGGAAATTATGTTCAAAAGAATTAGTGAAACAGTTACACAGGTCTCCATCACTCCATGTTTGCATTTGGAATCTACTATTCATGACTTCATTTATCTCCAAGCACATCCAAACAATTGCTAATGCTCTTGACTGCATAGTTCTTGTACACCCTAATCTCTTGCTAATACTCCTCATGTGAAAAAAATGTGATTTGTGAACAAGTTTTCAAAGACAGTCTTGTCTCAATCTACATAGGGATGGACTGAGCCCGGACGGCCTGACCCGGGACCAGCATTGTTGGTACCGCCTCGGGCCCGGTTTTCCGGGACCGATACTGGCCAGGTACTTGGACCGGTGGGTATAAGAGGTGGGCTTCGGGCTTGGTTTTGTGGGCTGGGCCGGTTTGGGCCCAACGGCTATTTTTTTAAAATTTAATTAAATGGGTGGGTACTGACCTGACCCCAACCCGACACTGTTTGGACCCGGACTGGAACTGGTACCTGAGCATACCGGGCCTGAACTGAGTCCATCTATGTAATGTGGCATTATTGTGGCATAATCTAGTTTGAATCTTTAATGATTGCTCATCTTTAAATTCATCGTCTAAATCATATACTACCAAATAAAGGTATCATATAAGCGCAGTTGTTTTAAAAAATGTTCAATCTAGAGCTTTACCAAATTTTAATCTCCTATAGCGGGCTACTTTTTGAAATTTGAAAAATAGAAAAAATATAAAACATTATAAAAAAAGAATAAAGATGTCAAAGTCTATAATTGTTTTGCGACCTTTGAAATTATTTATATATTCTACATTTTAAAACATCTTTAAAATTTATTTGTATATTTTTGCATTTTGATATTTGTACTTTTTTTATTTTTACTTGATTATTTGTCTATTTTTACATTTTTGCTATTCTTTATATATACATTTAAATTTCTTGAAAAGGCGACCTGCTCAAAACCCATGAAAAGTATCATATTGGCTGTTTTTTCACTCAATATAATATATATATAAATAATTTTTAACTATGCCAATAAACATAAGAATAATGACATAAATGTTAAAAGGTAGTAGAAAATGAACGGAAAAGCATTATTGTACATTTGTATGTAGCACATATATACATAATATTAATGCGACACTCTAACGCGTGTCATGGTAGTATTAGGTATGGGTTGAAGTGATAAATATCAATAAAACTTGTGAAGTATTTGTAGAATCGGACACTATTATATAAAACAAAAAAAATATGTGTATTAATATTCTGTTGAGTAATGAGAGTAAGGATCTCACAACATTAATTTGCATATGATTTGTTGTTGTTTTGATTTTATATTTAGTAGGTAGAAATATTGGTGTTTAATGTTCATGCATGTACATGTCAATTGGCTCATTAAACTGTCTGCGCTTCTTTGTTATGAAACAACAGTCAGTCCATGCAATTTTCGACGTGGTTTTCACTATGGGTCATCCGGAAACAGTCTTTATGTGCTTTAGTACAGAGGTAAGACTGCGTACATCTGACCCTCGTACCCCACCGTATGTGGGAGCCTTTGCGGCACTAGGGTAATGATAATGATGATGATGATGATCAAGCAAAATAATAACATTGGAGGGAAATGAAAATATTAGTGTACTACATATTATTCATAGGCTTTGAGAGAAAATTATAAGTGTTGAACGGATTGTTTATAAATGACATTTTTTATTTAGTGAATATCAGTTCAAAATTATGAGTGGACAAATAAAAGTCATATACAATGCATTTGATGTCAAATGTTTGATGTTATATCAACCTTTATCGTAAAATGTCTATGTGAATGAGAGATTAAAAAGATTGTTTGATACATTATATTATATGAAGTATGTTATACTGTTTGAAATATAGATTCTATGTATCATATAATTATAGTGAATCGTAAGAAAATACATACAAGTACAAGGACAAAAAACACTAGCATTATTTTACACTAAAGCGACACTTAATTATGCCGCCTAAAAGGAACTAAAAATAATTAATAAGTTTTTCATGAAAATGGTGTCGTCATCGTATATAGGTGATAACTTTTCTATCTTCATTCATTTATTGGAATTATTGATTGGGTATCATAAAATTTAATGTGATATATACAACGTGAAATATTACATGTTTAATTTAATTTCGTTCCAAGTGCTACTGCTATCATCTATCATCATCATCAATTCATCATTTTCTTTTGCTTACATTCAAGTTTTAATTACAATTCAAATGAGTTTTAATTCATCTTTAAATAATGTTGAGCTATCACACCACGAAAAAAATCACAAGAGCTTTGGACCGAGGGGTTGTAATCAAATTATTCTGGCCAGATCAAAACTATACAAATTTATAAAAATATTCAAATATCTATAGATTTATTGTAACTTAGAATTAAAAATAATATTTTTGTAAGCATATTCAGTTATCTCTAGTTCACCACATTAATATTGTAAACAGAAAAAAATTGTTACATCAGCGAGATTAAAATTATTCAAAAACTTCAATGTAATGAACAAATTGTAAGAACATAACATTTTTTTTAAAAAAGTTAACCAACTCATATATAAAATGCTATTTTTTCATAAGTCAGTATTCTAAAATTAATTTTTAAAAGGATCATTAGTTTATCTTATCCCAAACTATCGTCGAATTCACAAATTTATCTTATTCTTTCACTTTTATAAAAAAAAGACTCAAACTTTAATTCGAGCCCGTTTGGTAGCACCAAAATCGGCTGTTTTGGCTGATTCTGCTGAAATTTATGATATTCTGGCTGGAGTGGCTGTTTTGGCTGATTCTGCTGATTTAAGAAAAAAATATTTTAAAAATATATTTTATTAATAAATTAAAGAAAAAATTATATGTAAAAATAGCTAAAATGGTCCTCTACAGTAACTTCAGCCAATACAGCCAGAAAAGTAACTCCAACCTTACTTTTTCGGCTTATTACACAATTCAGTGCGCGAAAGTAAAAGTTACGTGTTTGGTGAAAAAGCTGGCTGATAAGCCTGATGAGCCGAAAACAGAGTTCTCCAAACGGGCTCTTCATCTTTTTCATCAATCATGGTTTCCTTTTTTGTTTTTTCAAAATAATACATTTTTATCAATGCAATAAGATATAAGCAATACAAATTTGTAAACTTAAACTAAAAAAACGTAAAAAAAAATATGAAATATGAATATGATTTTCTTCTTAAGTTTTACTAATTTGTCCATTGAAAGTGTAATTGTTATAAAAATTGAAGTTTAAGCCTTTTTTAAATAAAAATGGAAGTATGTGATAAATTTGCGAATTTGATGATAGTTGAAGATATTTTTAGCTAATAATCCTTTTTCTAAAGGAATATTAAATACTCCTTATTTATATGTGTAATTTTATTTATTAAATTTGTAACCCTAGCAGAGAGTCTCACTCTACTGTTTTTTCTGGTGTATTATTTTAACAGTCCAAATTTACTATTCACCTTGTAATTCTCTATGGAGTAATACATTATTTAAGAGGAAATCACTCTTTTAGTCCCTGAAATAGTCACCATATTGAAATGTCAGATCCGTACATCCGAGTTTGTAAATGTCACCTCTTAATTGTCCAAATTGGTATGAATTAATGTGGTCCATTGAGTGGTGAAATGTACAAAGTGGGCGAGGAGTACATTTCACGTACCCTTCAAAGTACCACATTTACATCAATTTGGACAATTCAAGGGTGACATTTACAATCTCGGAAATATGGGTCTGACATATCAATATAGGGACTATTTCAGGGACTAAAAGTGCGATTTTTCCCTTATTTTAACACATCATTTTGAATTTGTAATACTATCTTCGCTCTCATAACATTGGTATAGGAGAATGTGATGTGGTTACCAAAAGAATATGATGTGGTTATTAAGAAAAGTGAGTTCATGTGGTTGATATTAAATTAATATAAGGAAAATAAAGTAAGAATGATTTTGAACCACATAAACATTATCAAATTTGGAAGGAAACAATTTTAACAAGACGGATCAAAAGGGAAAGATGATATCATTTTAATAGGACGGAGGGAGTACTAATTTGCATGTAGTTCTGAGACTTGCATATATGAAAGTAATAATGTTAAATAAAAAAGTAGTTCGATGAAATTGTAAAAGAAAAAGGATAGTAAGATACCCTTCTGTTCATTTGTCTTTTTTTGACGTTTCATTCACATGTTCTCATTTCTATATTATGAAATAATTAACACTCTTAAATAACGAATTAATAAAACATATTAATAATTAATATTAAAAATAATAATATATAACATCATAACTATCATCACTTATCCTATAAATATGTCTGGCAAATGGTTTATTAGCCATTTTAGCTGGTTTGACCCGTATACCATGGGAGCGGCCCATCTTGAGCATCCTACTCCCGCGGCCAAAATGACGTATGTAGCATTACATTAAAGTACATTTAATTAAAAAAAATAAGCGCACGCGAACCAACGGATCCTTTCTCCCACCTTTTCCCTCCAGCGGTTATGCTCTCCACTCCTGATGTCATTACATTTACGCTTCTTTGAAATCCAAAAGTCTACTTTCTGAAAAAACTTTCGCTCTGTCTGCATTTCTTCTGAAACAAGTTCGATGAAGTTATTTTTGAAACGAATCTTTGCGAAGAACACAAGAGGTTAAGTAAGGGATTCCACCGTAGCAACTTGCGCATCAAGTTCAGCAGTAAGTACAATCAAAATGGTTAGGGTTAAAGGAAAATTGGTGTTATGAAAATATGTGTATTATGCCCTGAAATGTGTTATTTACAAGTAAATACAAGAAAAGTAATTTTTGTTTCATAATGTGCATCTGACTGTTTCAAAAGTCAAAATACCTGATGCATGTTTACTTAAATTATAAAGTATATACTCTATAAGGTATTATTTGAATGCAAATGTTGTCTAGAGAACATTCTTCGAAGTGCTTGTGCGTGGTGTAACTTCATTGAGTAATTATGTAACTTCTGTATGATAATATGTCACATGGCTAGAGGACAAAATACATATTCCAATTCTGTAAGCATTATTTATATTTATGTTATGAAGTATGTACACTCTGTCCCTTACTATGTCACTGCAAGTATTGGAGCCATAGTTGATTATT